TCTGACGTGTTTTCTCAATTCTCATATTTCTTTCATAAATTTTATTTGTTGTTTTAAATAGATCACATATGCAGCATCAAAGATATGAAACTCTGAACAAAAGTCTGTTCCAACATAGAGGTCATCAGACATTGAACTGACCGGAAACCAATGTCAGTCAGCTCTGGGTTACTGTAAAATACTTTATTTTCGCTAGGAATTTATGTTTAAAATCAGTGAAAATAAAAACACAACACCCAAAAAGTCTTTTCAGCGAAAATTAATTCCAGCTAAAATAAGGTATTTCACAGTATATGATTTTTTGAGTTTATGAATATTCATAAGTTGTTTATTAGATGTTGAATATAATGTCCACCTGCCATAATTTCAGTATGCAAAAGACTACAAATTTTAAAGTCAATGCTCATGGAGACATGTACTGCAATCACATACTGTGTTATAAACATTTTAAGACTCTTATAGCATATTCCATTGAAATTAAGAACATAAACCCTTTATACATTTTACAGAATTGTTAATATGACTTGCTAAATATGCCTTCAAAAGTATGAGGATTTCCCAAAAATATATACTAGATGGTTTGAGATGGTGGGTCAAGTTAGTTACAGCTGTCATATCTAGACTATATAAAAAAATCCTCCCCCCAATAAAATTGACGGTGCCTATGGCCTCCACATTTCATCTTCAGAAAGACTTTATATCCCAGAAGAGTCCTTGTAAGAGGGATTTTATGCCATATGATACCATGCATCATCACAAAATGAACAAATCTGACCAAGGTTTACTCAAGGTGTCTACATATAAAATACCGAAGCAATCGAGTTAGCTGTTAAGAAGTTGAAAATAGCATTTATTACTAAAAATGATAACAGGTATTTTCCCAAAATTAACCAATCTGATTAAAGTAAATAGCACTTTTTCTCAAAAATGTTCATTAAAATTAGAGATTTGAAAATATCTTCATGAAATGAACAAATCTGTGAGAGGTCTACTCAAAGTACATATTAAATATCAAAAGCAAGCAGACTTGCCGCTTTAAAGAAGAACTCAGAAAAGTTTTTGCTAACGAATGGTGGTGAACAATGAGAAGTAAGCAGAGCTCCACTCTGGCAACTACCGGTAAGTCAATAGCAGAGCTTAAAAAATGTGTGGCTGTGAATGGAATCCAATATGAGTTCAGTTTTAATATACAACTCGCAATACTTTAGATATAGAGAAGCAGATAAAATCAGTTCAATCAACAACACTTAGACTGTGTTCCAATTTATATGTAAATGACAATTTGTAACAACTTGACAATTGAGAGTATGCAGAGCTTGAGACATCAAATCTATAGTCAAAATTAATTTATAATCTCTTTTGCATACATGTATATTTTAACACAAATTTGTAACTGCAAACTGTAAAAAATGTGTTTTTTTCGTATTACGCCACAATTAAAAAAAATTTACTGCACATGACTACCGATATATGCAAAATACATGTACCAGCAGTTTAATATGGAAAATGCTAATTGAAAAGCAGTATTAAAATTTAATTGGGCAAATAATTTGTAGTATGTGCAGTATTATAATTTTATTATACCTCAGTAAAAGTACACTTCATCCAAGTGTTCATTAGAGTTTAGACAAGGGGCTGACCATTCAGAATCCTGAGGATGGCTTTGCAAGATTGAAAGAAAAACAGTTTCCTGGAGAAAAAAACCTAAGTACAATGGTTTTTGCAAAGCCTCTCTAAATGGAGTCTACCTGACATGAAATTATACTTCATATCCAGTTCCTGCATCCACATGCAGCACCATAGAATTAACAGTCACAATCCCATAAATGATCTGCAGATAATTTATGATACCCCCGATATATATTTTGTATGGCAGATGGAAACACTTACAGCAGGGTGTACCGAGATTCATTTGATATTTAAATTTCATTATCCAACCCACATGTAGTAATGTATAATTCTGCATGTTGCTCAATGTTTAATTACCAAATTATATTTGAAGACATGTGCATTACATTTTAATTATGTTTTGTCAGCATACCATCAGAATATTTTGCTGGTATATGCATGTTATGAGGCAATTATTATTATAGAAGTCACAATTTTTATATTAAACATTTATCATCATATAATATAGTAAATAGAATGATATCTTGCATCGTGAGAAATTTATGTTTTACAATTGGCAAAAATAAATCAATGTACAATTCAACACATACAAGAATAAGTACAAAATGCAATGAAATTGAAGATGAGATACATTTTATCACTTCATGCAAACTATTCACTGAACAAAGAAAGACATTGTATTATACATTTTTCTCAAATTTCGAATGAAAAATTTCGAAATTTCGACCAGTTCAAACACCTCAATAAAATTCAAAAGTTTATTCATATAGTCACACAAACAAAAAACTATTAATAATAAAACTAATTGACTATATTAAAACATCAATAACAATTAGAAAACAATTCCTTGAATGATTTATCATTATTAATTTTTTAGTTTAACAAACATTTATAATTAAAATTTATACCTTTACTACACTTTTTAACCAAACTAGATTAATATGCAACTGGTATATACCGGTAAACTGATAGGGGTGATTGGTGTGGTGGGTCAGATTGTAGTTTTGAATGTGAGATACAAGCATGTATGCATCAATCTACAAATTAGAATTCATCTCACACATTATTTCACTATGCAACTGGTACATGAAATGATAGTTTCTAGGGTCCTGCCCAAACTCATATGCATTGTGCGACACATGCATTGTACATGTAGTAGTTTTCAAATGTCAGATGAACTGACACATGACATGTATGCATTAATCCACAGTTCAGAATTCCTCTCACAATTCTGGAAGTATGCATCACAAACTTAAGCTGTGAAATTTTCCGCTGACATGCATACAAATATTGACTGAGTTACGCTTCACATCTTATAAAGTAGTTAATGGTTATACAATGAGTGGTAAGGAATTCACTGAGCTTTAAGAGAAGAAGACTTGTGAGAAGTCTTTATACAATTTTATGTGAATGGGATGATACAATTGTGCCATACAATTTATTTGTTGATAGGGCACTGCTAGATATTGTGAAGCATGTATGTTCATATATGCATGTAATTATACACGTACATTTGTACATTATTTAAATTTAAGCCAAGTTTTTTTGATGAATGTGCAGATTCATGTACCCTGTCAATTCATCCACATTGTAACTCAGCACTAATTACAGTATATGTGAGCAATATCAGAAAGAACGAAAATTGCTGTTCATAGAATGTAACATAATAAACAGAATAGAATAAACAATTTTATAAACATATGCAACAACAGTTTTCCACTAGTTAAATACCTAATACAAACAATATACAAAAAGTAACATTTAACAACAATTAATTATTTTTTCTTTATAGTAATATTATTGTAATTTTCTTTTTATTGTAGTATT